AAATATAAATGTGTCAGGAATATTTTTTGGCTCAATGCAGGGCTAGAATATGATGAAACTATGAAGTTAGCTTATCAAGAGGCCAGAAGAACCTACCCTAGATCAGCCATTCCGCCGAGGCCCTTACGTCACGTGGCCCTTACGTTTTCGCGGCCTGGAAAGAAGCGGGGCGCAATCCAGGCGCGAAGGCCTGCTTCATTCATCTCCTAGATACACACGGGGGTGAACGACGACAAACGGACGTCAGCGACAACGGTCGTCGCTCGCGGTTAACGGTTTCCCCGAGTCCCGGACGCTACTTCGGACGCCGTGGCCCGCTGATTCTCGCTCCGTCGCTCCAGGAACCGGCGGAGTTGTTACGCCGGAAGTTGTTTTATGCTAATGCAGCGGTATCTGCCGTTTCCCGGCTCGCGCGCGCCCGCACGCACGCGGCCGAGAGTGCGTTTACCGTTTCAGCGCGACATGACACACAAGGGTGAGGAGAGGAGGTGGGGGCGGCTGCCTTTGTCCCACGCACGCGTGTGCGTGCGCGGGCGCGCGTTAACGCGACGACGACGGCTCGCCGCCGACGAGTAAATGCGACTCCGACCAACCGGATAAAGCATTCTTCGTTTATTACCGCCGAATGCATTAAATCGCGACGTCGCGGGTCAAGCACACGCGATTGACGTCAGAGCGCGCGGCGCGGCGCGACGCTCCTCCTCCGGCTTAACAAAAGTAACACCGTCGCTCGCGAAATGATACTCGGATATACGTGCTCTTACGTAATACAAGCTCTCACAAGATCTCTTTTCTCGTTTCCTCACGAAAATGTCGAGGTACGAGGAATATTCGAGCTACGCTGGCGAAGCCGCGCTGAAAAAAAATAATCTGGTTGCATTAATTAGAAATCCGACAGATTCAACCAGTCGTCTGTTAGAAAATGAACGAATCAAAATTCCTTTAGGATTTACCGGGCGTATAGCGAAGTCTATCAAACTTCTGGTTAGGAAACATCGAGCCCTGTCGTGACAACTAAAAATTCTGTTTGGTTTAACCAAAACAAGTTCTATCATACATGTCCTGTCGATACGATCAACGCATTTTTCTCAGTGTGCGGGGCTCGTTATCCAACTTTTAATCGAACTTTCCTGGAACCGTAACTTCCCAGTTGCTCGTTATAGACACGTAGATAATATTGAGAATAACGAGAAATTGCGAGAAAGAAAATAAAAACTGATCTCCGTTTTAACTCGCCGGGATTTGGGCGATTAAAATGAAGGAAGTTCAGGTCTGATCTACAATACGCGGTGCGAGAGGCAGGAGTGAGTGAAACAAATCAATTTTATTTCTTACTCCTGCTCGAGCTCTTACTCTCGGCGAATCAGAGCGCGATCGGCCAGACGGCTCCAGACATTTTACAAATTACGCCCGTATTTTAGCTTCCTTACACCAAGAGGCTATGGTTCTCCCATAGTGTAACTAGTGGGTCCACTCCATAGACATAATATACCTAGACCGAGCGTTTGCCTTCATCTGAGGTGCAAATAAAAAAGGACAAGCCCTGTTTCGTGCTATTAAACGTAAACGAAACAGCACGAAACAGAGTTTGTCCTCTTCTACGTGAACCTCTACCCCCACTGCTCGATGCTCGGTCTAGATACATTATGTCTATGGTCCACTCTCTGTCGGCTCCTTTGATCTTTGCGGTCCCGATCACGTGGTGTTCCGCCATTATTTTGGGCAGCAATCCAGCGGCGTGTGTGTGTGCGTACGTACTGTAGTTGTACGCGCGATAGCGTATCACAGCTGCACTACCGCACGTACAGCTTTTCTCTCATTGGTCTGCCCGGAACAATGTCGGATGCGCAGAAAGAATAAACGCGAAACAAATGACGAGACAAACCGTGGACCGCCTAGTTACACTATGGTCTTACTCTTTACTCCAAGGCTTTTGATGCACCGTGTACTATGGACCAGCCCTTACAACCAATACAGAGGAGACGCGTAAACGGATCCCGACGCTCGGTTACGTCGTTAGAATTCACTCTAAAACTCCGGAGCTGTTTGAAAGGGAGCCAGAATTCTACCAATTACGCTACGTCCAACGTTTACGTATCATTGCAAGCGCGTTTATATTCTCCGAGGACTTGCCCCAGAATCAAATATACGCTTCTCTCTCTCTCTCTCTCCTTCCTCTCCTTCTCCTCCACCTCCCTCTCGCTCTCTCTTTCTCTCGCTCGTCCTCGCGCGCAAAAATTCCCGATACACCACCACCTTGTGCGCAGCCCGACTTCCGGTCGATAAAACGCATTCTCTGTAGAGAAGCCCACGGTTGCACACGAGCCGACACATGTCCCGCTTTTCGGTGCACGATAATAATGTCAATATCAACGATAGACGTCCTGTGTCGTCTCGCTCGCTCGCCAACCCGTGGGCTCCCTGTTCCTCCTACCTCCTCCCTTCCTCCGGGCACGAGAGTGCGGCCCCCCCTTCGCCGCGCGGCGACACGCACGATTTTTTTTTTAGGTTAGGTGTGCGCACGTGCGAGCCCCGTTCGCGCGCCTTCATTATTTGTTTTTACGCACGTTCGCCCGAAGGAGGCCCCGCGCGAACACGTGGACGCGGCCAGGTGTCGTCCACGCGATCGGAAATTGGACCTTAAGCAGGGAGGGAAGGAAGGCAGGAAGGAAGGAAGCGGTCGTGGGAACGAGAGGGAGGGGGGAGGGGAGGGACCATGAGCTAAGCGAGCGTAATATTTCACCGGGGGATCTGTTTACTCGGCGCGAAACGCTGCCGCTGGTCCACCGAATCGGGCGCCCTCCCCTGGGAGAGTTCGTCGTCGTCGTCGTCGAGCACGGTAAATTTGTTACGACGAAGCGCACGCGACGTGTAGCAGAGAACCCGGGACGCCCGCGCAGTACGACACGACCAAACTAGGTATATCCTTGAATCCTTTAGTTGGGGAAAGTTTGCTGGCCTCGAGGCATCGCCGCGCTAATTCCGAAAGAGCTTTATAAATCTCTTCCACGAGTCCTCTCTCCCTCTCTCTCTCTCTCTCTCTCTCTCTCTCTATCGCTCGCTCCCTTTCTCACTTGGGGAAGTCGATGAACCTTTCTTTTTTTTTCTTTAAATTCCGACGAAAGGCAAAGTTGCGAAGAGCCGAAGTTTCGGGCGGTCGGGAAATCCGAGACTTTTGCGCAAGAATTGGCAGCGCTTATAAAATATTGAAACAGAAGTTCTCACCCCGGCCCTCGGAATCCTAATATCGGGAGGACTCGCATATAGCCCGGCGACGAAAGTGGAATTTTCAGCGGAAATACGTACCGAGGGCCGACGGAGCGAGCTCCCTTCGCGCCTCCAAATGAAACAGATGAATGAACGTAGTGGAAACTTTGGATCGTCGTGACCCTCGCGGTCGAACACGCCGCACGAAAGTTCGCGAGAGATAAGACTATCCACCTGAACCGGGATAATCTCAGAGGGCGGGCAGGTCTCTCCCTCTCTCTCACCGTGGTTTTTATTCCTAAATTTCATATATGTTACGCTACGAAAAATAAGCGATCCCCGTGGAGCCTGAAAATAGGCTTCCCGTCCTCCAAAGGTTACGATCTTTCCGCGGGAGACTGCGAGGCTTTCTCGGGATTCAATTTTCTTCGAATCTTAATTCAAGATATGAGATAATATTTATAAAATGTCGAGCTCGAAGTTATCTGCCCTTTTCCGACTTTGATAGGCCACGGAACTTCAAGATTGCTCCGAAAACTTGTCTCGGGGAGAATAAGTTTTTCTCGAGCCGCCGCGACTCCCTCAAAATCTCGGATCCTTCGAGCGTGGGAGGCCAAGGGTGGCCTCCTTGTAAAGGATAAATTATCCTTGTAAAAGATAAATGATGCATCGTGCGCATCATGCGTGAAACGGAACGCAAGTTATCGGCGATTTTTGACGATTCTATATGTACCAAAGTGTACCAGAGTGTAAACTCGGCGTCATGAATGCCTTTACACCCGATGCCTTTACATCTCAATCTCAATCCGTAGTCTGATACGGGCTTAAGGCCGACTCGGATTGGAATTGGCAATTGCTAGTCTGATTCGGCCTTTAAGGCCGGCTCAGGCTAGCAATGGCCGACTCGGATTGGGATTGGCGAGTGACGATTGTTTTCTAGCCAACGAGAGCAAAGCAGCCAGCGATTTAATCGACTCTCATTGGCTAGAAAACAATCGTCAATCGGCAATTCCGATCCGAGTCGGGTCTGATTCGGCATTTATGGTATACCAAACTCGACAATACCCGCGAAAGACAGAGGACGCTTCAAGTTGCAATTCCCGAATTGTTAAACACCGCGCCGCCAAATTTGCCGCAGAAGATGAATTATTCCTCGTCGCTGAAAGATGCAACGTGGTCTCGGGATCCTTCGCGGCCCCGAATTACGGAAAGGACAGCGTTCGTCGTGGCAGGAAGCGTCATTTTTCAACAATGCTGGAATTCTGAAGCTATTCTTCAGGGTGCCGTATCAGGTTCACCTAACAATTACTTTAAAAAGAGCCGTCCCGTGACTTTGCATGTGACTTGCTTTTAGACGATTAGCTTTCAAGTTTTTTTCCCCCCCGATAGTGACTGGGAAACAATCACCGGAACAATTTCCCGCTGCCTTTCTACTCCAATATCTATTTTCACCAACGTGAATAAACTCTAATCTCTCGGTTTATCTTGCTTTTCCTGTTTTTTTTCTAATTCTTGGCAAACTGTAGACCGAGATTACAGTTAATCTACATTGATAGAAATGCACGTAAATCTTGAATAAAATGGGAGGGGGAGATAAATCTCGATGGGGTCTTGGCTAAAAGTACAGCGCGATTTTTCGAGAGGTTAGAATCCGTGGCTCTACGACCGGAAGTCTACGTTGTTTCCCGCGGATCGTCCAGCGACCATTGAATGCCGTGTTCCGCGAGGACTCGGCGAAAAACTGAGGTCGCGCGCCGCCTCTTCGGGCGCGATAGCGGGTAAGAGAGACGTACCTGTTCCCGAAGCGCTCCTTCCAGAATTCGGCCGCGTCCGCCTTGGTGATGCGAAACTGATCGCCGGCGAACATCCCGTTGGGAAATATGGCCTTAAGCTCGGACAGCATGTGGCTGAACACGAGGCTGAGCTTGGTGAGGTTACGGCGGTAGTGCGACGTCTCGTCGAACATCTTCTCCTTGCCCTCCTTGAACAGCTTGATCGCCTGCTTGCACTTACGCATCAGGTTGTTGATGAACACGCAGAAGTGCTCGTTGCTGTGCAGCACCTGCATACGCTCCTCGTACTTGCTGTAGATGAGCCGCAGCCGCTGGTACGTGTCCGGCAGGATGTCGAGGATGAACGGCGGCGAGTTCTTGAGGTTCATGCGCTGGTGCTGGCACAACTTCACCACCTTGTCCATCAGCTTCCAGGTCTTGTCGAGCGTACGCTTGTCGGTCGACAGCTTAGGCGGCGTCATCGCGTCCGCGAAGCGGCCGTGCAGCTTCTGGAAGATCGAGCCGATGTGGACGGCGCGAGTGCGGCTGCTGTGCCCGGACGACGACATCTTGACGGACGTGCGTGGATGCGTGGTGCTCGGCGCCTGATACGCCGAGTCTCTCTCTCTTCCCCCGTCTTTCCCGCCTCTCCTATCCGAACATACACCCGTTCTCGGCTGCCCCCTTTATTCGCACCTCACACCCTACCTGGCGCGCGGATGGCAACAACGGCGGCGGCGGTCTCGCGAGCACTCGCGCTACACCCGAGGTTAACCCGCGCACACACACGGCGGAGCGACGGATCGGCACACCGCGCATATCTCAGCGGGACGCGGCCGCGGCCACGACAACGTTCCCGTCAAGTCGCGGACACGGGATGCAACGCCGGAATCTCGCGCGATACCGCATCCTATTTATCTCTTCTCTCTTTCTCTCTCGCACTCTTCCTTCCTCTCTTTTTCTCCCTCTCTCTCTTTCTCTCTCTCTCTCTCTCTCGGTCACTGTGCGACGACTGTGGGCTAAGCCGGATGCTCCGCGGACGACTCGCGGCGATTCTGACGACACTGACACGAACCACGGCGAGCGGGACCGAGCGCGAGCGCGGTGGCCCCGTCCTACGTATCTGTGTGGCCGCTCCGCTCGCTACCTCCGACTGGGCGAATCCGCCGCCGCGTCGCCACTCGTCGCGGCGGCGCGCATGCGCGCCCGCCGGCGCGCGATTCCAATCGTCACGTGTCCGCGGGGGAGATTGCTCCGTTTGTTTTTGCGTCTCGCGTTTCTTTTCTTTTTTCTATCTTTGCGACCAGTCCTCTCCTTCGAACGTGTCTCGCCTCGGGCGACCGACGACTCCCCCGTTAGAACTCGAAGACGCACAATTTTACGCGCCGCTCTGGTTTCGACGTGGACACAGTTAGTTCTATTTGCGAAATAGGCAAAATGTTGGAAGAATCAAAATATATGTCTGTATACACCTGTGACAGTGGTCTACGTTTTGTCCCGCTGGTTTTGCGGCAGGCTTTGTGGCAACGGATTTTGCTCGTGCCTTGTTACTTGCATGCGCTACCTGCGCTCCAACTCTATTATGTCTTCTATAGTGTCTTAAGTACATGCAATAAATTTTATATTAAAAACATTAAAAACATTACATGTGTATCTAATAGATGAGTGATTAATTTCCAAAATTTTGGTTGCCGTTGCATAGAATCGTAGAGTGAATTTTAACATGTTGTATGAATTATTAGTTATTTAAATCGAAGTCTAATTCTGAAGGTCGAATTCGAGAGGCTGCGAAAAAAGATTAATAGTCAATTAAGTGAGAGATTTCGCTAGGGAACAAGTTAGGTCTTCGTAGTGCGAGGGGCTTTTTCATTTTATTCTTAGATTGATTGCGCTTCTCGTTGTCAAGTCGCGCGAATTGATCGGAAACTACCGGCAATTGCAGGCATCTAGTAGACTACGGCCCGCATACTGAATCCCCTTTTATCAATAAAAGCGCCTGTGGCTAATAAATCTTCTGATTGGCTACAGGCCACTTTTAGAAGCGCTTTATCGATAAAAAGGGGATTCAAAATACGTGCCTACAAGTACACTGTTTTCCACTGGGTTGCAGATTGCAGTGCAAGACTCTAATATGGACTATAATTACACGGAGCGGACGAGTGGGTGGCGAGCGAGTGAATGATCTTAATTGTAAGCGTAGAATTAGGTTTCAAGATTTGTAGATTGCAAAGGAGGAACGAGACAAGATAGCGTTTGTGAGAATGGAGAAACTTGCGAGACCATTTTATACGTGAAGTGTGCGAGAAGAGTTTCTAAAATCAAACTTGTAATCCCAGAGGGAAGATAATTAAACGTACATACATCGCAATTAATTACAATTGATATGTATCTGTGCCTATATTTATTGATATTTCGTAATTGATACTGCATTATTACGAATGATCATTCCACGTTCAATTTGATTCAGCGCGCTTATCGAGTTAATATAGTAATTTTTTTCCGATCAGAATAATTTCCTGGACTGCAAACAGTATAAACAGCAAATGTAGTGAGTAAAGTCCGCGTGTTGCATAAAATTACGAATAAACCAATGTTCCTAGTTCTATGATACATATAATTGAAAATTGTGTATACATATGATCTTTACAATAAATAATCAGAGACAGGATTACGTGCACACGACGAAGTAACTTCACAGTACAAGTCCCACAAAAACTCGGATATTAAATTCATTGGGTATCCCACAAGAAATGGGCTGGCGTTATTTTACAGAGACTAAAATACACAAATAAATAACATATAATGTATTTTGTGCTTTAACTGCGTTATTAAGTTTTAGAATCCAGAGACCAGTGATTGGTACTATTTCACTTGTCCTCGATGAAACGTTAGCACTCATAAGGCGGACCGAAGAGTATGGAACATACCTAAAGAAGCAATTTTTATCTCTCTGATCAATTTCACAATACATTACTCGTCGTCGCACACGCCGTTGCACGTGTGAATGAGTAAGTTTTACGTCACTTCCGCTAAGTTTTCTTCCGGGCTGCAATTAGGGCTATCTGCCGTCTAAAGTAACTTGCGCATCGATAACGTTGACTTGCCGTCACCGGTTCGCTAGGTAATAACTTAACCGCAGTAGAACGAAGCTCGATATTAAGAACCAACTGGCAGGAATCGACGCCAGTATGCAGTACCTTTCATCTGAAACATCGAGGAAAAATATGTATTGCGTGGAGGACTACGTGAGGACGTCTGTGAAAAAATCAGGAAGCGTGATGGGGGCAATTTACACGTCGCTGTGAAACATATGTAACGGACTTATCATCGGAAACATTGTTACATTTGTTGTAACAATGTTCAAGGGTAACCATCGGTGCATCGATTTGTAAAACTGTCTTCTATGTTAAGTCCGGCTGACTTTAACGTTTTCAATCATTCATATTGTTCGAGGACAAAGAAAGCCATTTTTTTCTAGTTCGTTAGACATGAGGGAACATCATATATATTCTTCTATATACTTGGATACCATCCAGTTTGGTATATCATTTATCATTTGGTACATCAAACTGGATATGGTTTCAATACCCAATTTGATATACTACTTAGTTTGCTTACCGATGAATCTTATATACTTTTATATATTTAAACGTTCATTATGTTCAGCTGATTGATCTATAAGTATTCGTTGCATCTAAATCTGATATGTATTTCTTTCACTAGAGATTCTTTTAATTAATGCAATCTCTACTTGTTACGCAGAGTTTATATACAAGCGCCCACACATACACATATTTACTTTATATTGTCTGTAATATAATTACATCATCTGCCAAATAGTTTCCTGTATTACATCAACTTATGGGATTATTTAATTAATTTTTTTATAATTTTTGAAAAACTTTGTAACAATGAAAACTTGATTTTCTAATGCAGAATCGCAGTATTACATTAGTTCTCGTCGTAGCGTAATGATATAATTATCCAGTTATTACGCAGTATTTACAAATGAATTGTCCTCAAACTTACCTAAATATATGTTTAAAATATACATATCCTTAAACATAAATACATGAACATAAAATATTTACATAAAACATGATTAAAACACATATTGCATTTAAAGCATGATATTTTTATAATCTGTGAAACATTAATCAGTCTTCAATTGAATGTTTTTATACATAGAAGGGGGAATTCAAATCAATTTTTATTTACAAACATAGTAGAATAAGCAGCAAATATAAAAAAGTAGACAAAATACAAAAAAGAAGTACAAAACACAAGAAAGCAGAATATTAAAAAATATTCATAGAATACTGCGACAAATATGAAATCTTAACAATAAAAATTTGTTATTGTGAATATTAAAATATTAATTTTGTAATAAAATTTACTTCGAATGACCTATATGTGATATGTTTATGTTTAATAAGTATTAAATATATTTCTTTTTATTTACATAAGCACACACGAATGCATACATGGTACATTTAAAAAAAGAAGCGCAGACAGTTGTTCTCCCGTCAAATAGACAGTGAGAAATATTTAGACAAAGCGGCCTCAAACATACCAGACACTTCGGACATTGTATGTTTGGTGTTTTTACATTTACCTGTCATTTGGTCGGACATTTTTCCTGTCGCCCAACCTAGGCTCCTTTGCACTGCCATTTTCCATTTCTTATACCTCGCGTCTCTCTCTACAAAAAGAAAGAAAGATTAGAGTAAAAAGTACAGAAAAATAAGTCGTGATTTTCAAAAAACTCAATTTCAAAATTTACCTTCCGGCGTGATAGTCGGAAGAAAAGTGTCGGTTGGCACTGTTTCTACTTCTTCGCCTTCCAGGTCCCAAACATCTATCCCTTCAGCGTGTCCGGCAGCCATCGCTACACCCAAGGCCGTGATGTCAGGCATAGTTGACCTAACTGTTGATCGAAACAGAAGCACAGTTAATTTTCACAGAAGCGCAACAGAAATCGAAGTAATATATAAATAGGTACTACTATAGGAGCCATATTTCCTCTAGCTCATAAACCTGGTCTCAATTTACGATCAATCGTACTTACATACTGGCGTACCGCACAAGTCGGCTTGCAGTTGCATTAGAAGATTATTAGTTGACATTTTCCCGTCCGTGTTCAACTTCGTTAACGGAAATCCGCAATCTTTATGCATCGCCTCAAGAATGTCCCTGGTTTGGAAGCACACCGCTTCGAGGGACGCCCTGATTATATGTTGCTTCGTAGTAAACGCAGTAAGTCCACAAATTATTCTGGAAGAAAAGATCAAATCTTTCTCGAATATATTTAGTAACTTTTATTTAATATATTAAACATTTTCGATCAAATAATATGTCTTAAAAATGTCATAACGTGCATCATTATGTTTACAACGTTATATTTTTTACGAATATCTCTACAAATAGCGGTTTTGAAATATTCTACCAACCCCCTTGCATCCTTTCTCCAATAAGGTGCGTACAATCCTGTGAAAGCGGGCACAAAGTAGACATCTCCCGTGCTAAAGACGCTTTGAGCCAAATGTTCACTTTCATGAACGTCCTTTATGAGCTTCATGTTATCCCGTAGCCATTTAATAGCTGCACCTGCGACTGCGATCGAACCTTCCAACGCGTAAACAGGTGGACTCTTTGGACCTAACTGATATGCGACAGTTGTAACCAATCCATGAGAAGAATATACTCTCTGAAAGAAGTATAACAGCAGGTAAGGCAGTGAAATAACCGGTAAATAAAATAATGGAAAGTTTAAATGAGCGAGATCAAGCAGAATAAAACAAATAAAACATTTTCTAAGCTTTAAACATTTATAATTATACGTACAGTATGCCCTGTGTTACACAATAGAAAACAGCCACTTCTATATGTATTTTTCGCTTGGCCTTTCTTCAAGCAATTCTGCCCGACCAAAGCAGATTGTTGATTTCCTAAAATCTAATAGAGAAAAGAGATGAAATAGAAAAATATATTCTACATCTGTCGTTTTCATTGCAAAGTTTTACGTACGCCAGATATGGGAATGCCAGCCAGCGGACCGATTAAGATTTTGCCGTATATCTCGGAGCTGCTTTTGATCTCCGGCAGCATTTGCATAGGAATGTCGAAATATCTGCATAATGTAGGATCCCAGGAGAGCGTTTCAATATTCATTAGCATCGTTCTCGACGCGTTTGTAACATCAGTGATATATAGTCCTCCATCTTTGCCCCCTGTTAAGTTCTGCAATAATTTTTCCACATTAATTCCATTAAATTTGCGTTTACTTTCCTTTACTGCAAAGATTTAATTTCCTTAGCCTTAGCCTATTTTCTTGAGAATTGTGTACAATATGTCGAATGTTAAATAACAATTCTTGTAACACATAGCAGTGCGCTCTTCAATTAGCCACTTAATACTAGTGATAAGTTCCTTCGTGCTCGAGATATAACAAGCATAAATATTAGCGGGTATTAATAAACTAACTGAATAACAATCGAGTTAATTGCTACTAATATTTTGGTGTAATATCTCTTCGTCACGTACCCAAATAACCCACGTATCCATGGTCCCCACTTTGCACCTTCTCTCGCGAATCGCTTTCCTTACGGGCTTTACGTTGTCCTTCAACCAACGAATCTTCAGAGCCGAGAAGTACGGGCTCACGGGCAAGCCGCATAAGGGTTTCAAATGGTTTTTACTCTGATCCGGAAACTTGGCTATGATCTGGTCTACCATCGCGTCAGTTCTGATGTCGGACCACACTGAAAAAAATTACGCTTCAGAAGTTGATCGAGTGTTAATCAAACACTTTTCTCTCTTCGACTTCTCGGAGAATTATATCATTTTTCCAAAAATCCTCCGTGAAACAAATCAATCGGGACACGTGAAACATTGTACACATTCAGTAAACCTTTTTAAGCTTTTCCCGGAACAAAAGTAATTTTCTCCCGCAAACAGATTACTACGGAAGCGAGTCTCTACCCACCTATGGCATTATAAAGCGGGTCGCCGGTAGTCGCGTCCCACACTACTGTAGTTTCCCTCTGGTTGGTAATACCCACTGTAACGATATCGTCGATCTTCATACCCAGCACGTCCAATTTGCGAATTACGTCCTTAATGCAGGCCTTTACCGCAAAAAGGATCTCTTTGGGATCCTGTTCCATCCATCCCTCTTGCGGACTGATTTGCTCTATGTCGATTTGATGAGAGGCAATCTCCGCGACGTGCTTCGCATTAAATACCTGTAAACACAATTCGCACTTAATAACTATTTCAATCTATCGTCACTCGGATATATAGGAGTCCCGCTTATAAAGTTTAAAAAGAATCGATGTGGTTTAGCATGCATTCATTGGAAAAACATTGTATCGACAAAAATGAAAAAATAATAATTCTATATACACACGAATATTCGTCGAAGAAAAGAGACGCTTTCTTAATTCACACACATATCCCACAAGGGTCTATGTCACGCGGGGATATAGAAGAAATTTTACTTATTAATATAGATATGAAAAAAATTGTCATTAATATTTTTTTAACAGTTACATACAGCTTTTAGAATCTGTGATTAAAATGTGTTTTTATTAGCGTAATTATTTGGACTGATCTTTAGCGAAGCGGATGTTTCAAGACCCCGGAGCCTTGCGAATGCGATCTCGAAAATCTGCGATGCGAAAATCTGTTTGAAGAACGACATTATTTGCTATTCGCGCACAACGATTCTACGTTTATTACCTCCCATAAATCGTTGATTCGTTGTTGCACAGGGAGATCTTAGCTGCAATTAATTATACGCAACGTTGATACCGCCTTTTCATTTCCGACTAATTACTTATCGCGCTGAAAATCATGGAATTCTCACGACAGGTCTGGGTAAACATTTGGAAGCGTGGAAAATTATAACGTGATAGCGAGAGCAACTGATTTACAATAATTATTATCTTACCACAAAGCGAACAGTTCGTGTACCAACATCAACCACGCCGACAAGGGGTCCTATTTTTTTCACCGCGCTCGGCATTGTATCTGAAAAAAAAGAATCATCGTTAGATATTTTTATTAAATACTTATCTCATGAAGATCATTTGATGGAATAAGAAAACGCTTTTACACGCCCGCAATTAAAGCTGCGACACTAATAAAGAGATTTGAAGCAATGTAATAAACACTATCATATCAGTCGAGATTAAGAGCGAATTATATAAAACGTCTCGTATTAAACATGTTGTAGAGAATATAAAAGGTTATTAAACAAAATTGTAATATAAATCTAAAATACACGTGTCTCTAAACAGTACTTATTAAAATTTTATCAAGTGTCAGAAATAAAATAAAATAAACGCGTTTGTTTAGCTTCACCATCAATCCAAGATAAAACAGACATGTAGGATAAAATCTATTTTTTTTTAAAGAATCGAAAAACACGAATTTATAGGTGCACATTTCGTTTTCCCCATCTGTGAAGACATACTAATTAAATCCTGAAGTTTTTCAATACGAATTCTCACACAGTTTAATGATTTCTACACACTGAAACATCCGTATGTAATGTCTACAGATAGAATGATTGAGAAACCAAATTCCGGTCTGTTACAGCATATTAAAACGTGTTTATTATTTGTAGTGGGAAAGATTAAAACTAGTTTCACTTTCAAGAAACTTGTCTCTCCGAGGAATTAATATAGGATTATGGCGATTTGCAACTTTTGCAACAGCGTTCAATACCAGATGTTTTTTTTTATTTATTTCCGACATTTCCCTCTAAACAATGATATCATTTTATCGCTTGCAATATTAAATCTTTTGACATATAATAATTTCAGATTCTGTTTAAGAGAGTCGACGATGCCCGGAGCATAACAGATAAAAAGAAAAATAATGTAGAGAATGACTTTGCTCTTTACGTAACGGCCTTAAAATGTGATTTAAAAATATTCGAAATTTTATCGAACGTAAATTATTCTGCACGATTATAATATGGCTAAAGAATTTTCGTGTAAAAATGACAAACGAAAGTTCTGTGGGATACCATGTATTCTTTCCACAACTTGACGATATCATCCAGCGATCGATCGCAATTCCTCACGTTTCTTTCGATTAGGCTTCCCAAGACGCGCGTTATCATCAACATGCGTTTTTGATTCGTATCAATAAAAGATCATTTTTACGCAGGAATTAATTACACAGCTTTCTCAATTGTCCGCGGCATCGTAAGACATTAAATAATTTTATCTTAATATTGTATCATTTGACCATAAATATTGTGGAAGACCTTTCGAATTTTCTAATATAATTAATTAATTTCAGCCGGAAAAACAGCGCAGACGATCCGCAGTTGAAATTCGCCGGGTAAAATGCTAACAGCCGCAAGATAGATTACGAAACAAAATATGTATATGCGATTTGCATTGTAATCTCAGTTTCGAAACCCGACAAAACGGAATCTCATCGTCGGTGACCCGCAATATCGCGGGGGGCCGGTACGCCCGAGAGGGAAAAAAATGCAGTTTTTTATTTCGGTATCGTAAGTAAACGTCTGATACGCTTAATCTCGTGTACACGCCTTCGGTTACACGTAATTAGTTAACGCCGCCTCTTACGGCTGACCGCCAGCTAAAAGGTATATCTCTTCATCAGATGGAAACTCGACGGATCTCGTATACCGCACACGATCATCCGTCATCCATTTCCTCGGTTACGTTTTGTGTGACACCACCTGCGCTAATGTCCCTTTTTAAATTCTGTAAAAAGAAATGTACTCCACGTGCATCAGATTTCCCTCGAAAACGTCATCTTCACCGCCGTTGACATTCATTCATTAGACCGATAAGTTCAATAAATCGGAATTTCATTTTGCAACGTTTAATTACAATAATTATATTATCGTGTTTCGATAAACGAAGATACACAATTAGTTTGTATAAAAACATACTATTTAGTTTGTACCGGGCGTTTGCACCTTCGTTTTAAAGACTTCTATGTATATAATAGATAAACGCGAGGTCGTTATTCCGAATTATTGATAAAAGGATTGGTATTGAAAGTAACAAACGCAAGCTAATAATTTAAATAATTCGTGCACACCGTGCACACGTAACACTCGACAATTTGCCGTAACGCTCTCCCGGCTAAAAGCATTATACTGTACGTGCTGTAAATATATTTTATATTGTGCGACAATACGTATTATTGCGTTGTATTTTTAGCAGTACTAACATATTACGACCGTGAAGAAGATTGGCACTCGTGGTTTTGTACTGGCAATCGCGCGAACTTGAGAGAAAAGCTCGATTGTATGGACGTTCTTTCGAAAATTCGTTCTCTGAAGCTGGGAACGACGTCGGAGAGCATAAAATCTTCCTCTTTTACGTCAAAAGAGAATACGCAAGAATTTTTCAAATAAAAACAATCGAAGAAAAAATGACGGTAATGCGTTCGCTAATATACACTTCTACCGATGATTCATCAGGCGAGATTATGAATGTTCCAACGCATAAATTCGCGCTGATACACGGAGAGAATTTTCTCTTAAAATTTATCGTGGGACAAACGCGGCATTTCGATGAATTTTATAAGTGTTTTTTTGAAATTTTACCACATTTTACTAGTAAAATGTATGCTAAGTATAATTACTACACGGAGAGAATTTTCTCTTAAAATCTATCCTGGAAAGTTATGTAACCGTGGGACAACAAGGCATTTCGAAGAATTTTATGAAAGTTCTTTTGAAATGTTGCCACGCATTTACTAGTAAAATGTACGGTAACATTTCAAAAACTCGCGAAAGTCTTCGGAATGCCACGTTGTCCCACGATCACATGATTTTCAGGATAAATTTTAAGAGACAATTCTCTCCGTGCAGTGAAATGTATAGTAAAATTTCAAAAAAACTCTCATAAAAGTCTTTAAAATGCCGTGTTGTCCCACGAGCACGAAAAATTCTCTCCCTGTACCTATTATTATTGTACAAAATTAGTATATATTGTTTTTAATTAGAGATCAATAATAATTAACACATTTTTATCAATTAGAAATTAATATGCAATTATTCAAAAGAATAAAAGCAATCGATCGTCGACTTTCGGGGGACGCGAATATTTTAGAATACGAAGCACGAGCCCCCGGATACGCTCGATATATCCGTCAAGCTCATACGTCACGGCATTAAGGATCCCGTCTGTAAAAGTACGGGTATTACGAAATCCCTTATCGTACAAACCGACGCGTCTTCATTGAGACACATCAAAGTTCAAAGATTCCTTCGGCCGCGTTTACGCAACGAGAACGCGTCGACGCCGTCACACGCCGTAATCAAATGCGGATCCGCCGTATTGTATCGATCGCGATCCGCGAGTGTTGAATAAACAAATAATACGAACAGGTGAATGGCAAGTGTGCTTATATCGCACGCCCGACGGATCTTCGGCGCGCGGATTTCACTTCGTTCGCGCGAAATCGCGGCACGGGAGAAATTCGATTCGAACGGTCATCGAGTCGAAATCCGAGTTGAACCCGGCGTAGGCAGCCACGTCATTATCCTTATCTGCATTCGGTTCCCATCGGGCCAGCGCGGCGCGGCGCGCGGCGAAACGACTAAAGTCCAGAGTGTCCGCGCGGCGCACGTCGTCACGCACACGCACACGTGGAGCGTGCGACTTTGAATTGTATTATACACTATCGGCGAACGCGCGTCTCTCTTGCTCCGGCTCGTCGGCGGGTCCGAGGGAAATGACGATTTCCAGGCCGCTCGGACTCCCCCGGAGTCGATTCAAACTCTCCCCGAACGACACGATTTGGCGCGTCGACGGCGCGACATTAAATTAAAAAAAAAATAACCGACCGCGCGAATCCGGTTTGCCGTTATCCGCGCCGCCGCGGACGGCGGCGCGGGCACGCTCACCTGCGCTCTTGTACGAGTAAAACTTGAAGATACTCGTTCTGCGACCGGTCTCCGACTGCTCCATCTCCAGCGACGCGGTCGAATCCTCGAGGGAGTCGAATCCTTCCGGCGTGCCACGCTCGCTCGCGGTCGCCGTGTCCTCCGTGTCCCCGTTAGCGTCCCCTTCTGCGATTCCATACGCGTCCTCCCGCTCCATCGGACCGTCCTCTCGGGCCTGGCAACGATAATTCTTCTCGCCCGGAGCCTCGGGGATCCTGGACGTTCACCGGTCGACTCGTCCCTCGTATTACTGCCGTCGCGCCGGCCTCACGATTGAGTGACGTCGTTCCCTGGGATGACGTCGTTTCCTAGAAATCACGAGAGGAAACAAACGGTTGCGGCGTTACTCGAACGTTAAGCGCGCCGGGCGTGCTCGTTCGCCAGAATGCGAGATCGTCGGCGACCTGCCCGGGGTACCTCGCCGTCTCTCGCGGCCCCTCTCGCTTTTTTTTCCTCCCCCCTGGCGTACTACGTACTCGTGCGAGCGGGTCTCGTGTCGTGGTCACGGCCAGGTCCCGAATTAGCCGTACGCCGTCCGATCCCGAGAGAGTTTCCTCATTCCCGCGCGGCCGGTCAACGTTCACGTCTGCTTAGGATACGCCCATCCGACCACGTGGCACTCGAGGAAAAACTCGGCGAAGGGCCGCATTTATTGTATTTTCCCTCCGCGGGAGAGAAGCGACCCCGCGTGCCCTCAAGATCGCGTCTCGGCCCCGTGCCTTCGCTTGCGTATCACGTCGCCACTTTACGTTCAAATTGAACAGAAATCAATACGGCGGTAAAATCTTGTTCTCTTAAAACGACGTGCGCGGTCTCGAGCCACGTGAAAGCGGCGACCGTCGCCCGTATCTCAAGAATGCACACCCGATAACTGGAGATAAACCTCTAGGATGAATCAGCTAAGCCAGTCAGAGCTTTGCGAGAAGGCGCCAGGACCCTTTTCGGCTCCTGTAAACGGAGCATTGCAGTTCCCGATCTCCAAACTCAAGACCTCAATACGTTTTATTTACACAGTAAATTACTAATATTGCCTTGTGCGAAGTAATAATTCTTTTTCGAACAAGAATCTCGAATCTTACAATGCGTCTTTCTATTAAAAAAAAAACACAATTATAAAACTTCCGGCGATGTCGACGCCAAAAGGGTTTGCGGGAATTTTGAATTTTTTTGCAAAATAGATAGTCGATCCTCGCTTCCTCAGTTCATTTCTTTAGTGACACAAACAAGCAATACCGACCCGATTTTTTTTTTGTGGTTTTAAACCTGTACGCACGTGGTTTTCGAACTGAACGTGAGTACTGGAGACATATGATGCTGAACAGAGACATCGTATAAAGCGAAGAGAGAGGCCGCATATATGCGTTCGTAGTTTTTCCTGGGAAGCATCAGACTACCCGGGAGTATAATCTTCGGTCCGGCCTTATATACGAATTGCATCGTGCCCGAGTGCTAGCGAGAAACCCCTTGGCACGAGACTGTCTTCTCAGCTCTACCACGGACCCCGAAATTCGTGCCAGCGAGGCCGACGATCGATTCTAGATCGCAGCCTTTATACATGTGGCTTATTAGAACGCGATTCGGAGGCGCCTTAACGTAATTTTCGTAATTATTTAGCCGAATAATCGCTGCGGAGTACAAGGTGATAACCGCCTAGCGGCCGAGACCCTAAACTAAAATGCATCGCGCAATGTGCATGCAACCAGTGGCGTTGCATGCCCTTCGTGGCGCGGACATTCAAAACCGCGCGCGGCAAAGCTGAAGACCTTCACCGCGATCGAGATCAGCGCCCCCGGCACAGAGATTAAAGATTCGAGCGAAATTAACGAGTGCCGGGAGGGGGAACAGGATGCAAATTAAGCTGAGAATATCAAATCTTATCGCGGCCGCGCTTATCTCCTAAGCGCGATATGAACGTACGTAATGAAAATACGTAAGACGCGAGTTCTCCACGGGCCTGAAGTGTGCTTATCTACGCAGGGGATTTTTCAATTTCAAATAATACGCGGCAAGTGCCCGCCAAGTGCAAGGTGCAAAGGCGCAAAAACGCGTTTAATTTCTGAACTTTAAACTTTCGGGTCGATCGGTTAATTGAGACGCGGCGAGACACGCTAGAGTAATTCCAAGTTTTTAAGTCGGGAGAATCTTATCAGCAATTACTAGAGCTGTCTCTTCGAGATTCGCACGGTTTTATAAATATTTTACCACGCAATAATAGAGCGATCGTTCTCGCGGGCGGGATAAATTTTGTAATTTGTTTTGTTTTGCGCCGAACCCTTCTGCGCATCCGCCATTATCTTGGTGCGGCCAATGAGACGGATATTGTTATATGTGGTAGTGTGACAGTGTGAAAGGATCTCACACACCAAATAAGGCGGAATACACCGTGATCGAAACCGAAAAGATCAAAGGGCCGACATACTGCTTGCGTTCGTTTTCTCCCACTGGGAGCATAAACTATGCTGAAACTCTATAGTTTACGTTACGTAAATTATAGACTTTCAGTATAGTTTATGCTCCCGGTGGGAGAAAACGAACGCATGCATAATGTAATCATTGACTGCGTTCAACAGAAAAAGCTGCTTTGCAACTGTTGTAAAATTCGCGAATCTGATTGGTGTATTCTCTTAAGGCCTTTGCACGTAAAAAAGCGTTAACCGTAACCGTAATTTTAGTCCGTAATCGTAGTTTTCAACACGTACAGACAGATGGAGCAACCCAAGTAAAATTCCGAAGGTTACGGACTAAAATTACGTAGGTTCCGTAGGTTATGGACTAAAATTACAGTTACGGTTAATGCTTTTTTACGTGCAAAGGCCTTTAATCTTGAGTGAATTTAAGAGCACGCGCCAATCAGATTCATGAATTTTACAGCAGTTGCAAAGCAGCCTTTTCTGCTGAACGTAGCCACTGATGCCTTACCATATAAATTTAGGTACAGTTAGAACACATATACATTTTCCATGTAAGTATACGGAAAGTGTATAAATGTGTCGATATGTGCGCAAATTCGTGCGGGAAGGCATCGGTGACGGTGACTCCTAGCGTACACAACGTGCTTTGTTTTTCTTTCTCACGTCAGCCAGAGCTATTCCCTTCCGTTATAAATACAGTCGGAAAAGAACGAGGAATCAATTATCGTAACTTATCCAGGCCCGTTTTATCCCGCGGCAAAGACGGGGGTCCGAAAAAAGAATCGAGGGAATCTATCTTGGGGCTATCTCCCGCAGTCACGGTCACTCGTCCGGCGTAACGGACCACAGTCTCGAAAGAATCTCGTAGAGAAGAGGCGGCAGGTGCACCATACGGCGCGGAGCACGTGGAATTACGGCGCACGCAGCACGCGTGTCTAAAAGACGTCTTTAAGTCGTCTTATAGACACACATATCTAAGAGACGACCTAAAGACGTCTCAGACATGTCTCAGTCCCAGTCTACAATAGATGATTTAAGCCCTAAGCTTTAAGAAATTGGCCAATCACGGTCAAGTATGAGTAGAATGCGCGACTGTGATTAGTCAATTTCTTAAGGCATAGGGCTTAAATCTCTATTGTAGACTGGGACTTAGACATGCGTGCTGCACGGGGGGGGGGAGGGGGGCTGCGTTCGTAGTCAGTCTCGCGAGCGAGGCTCGTCGCACCGGTGCGACCACGTGGAGGCGCCTCCGTGACGCGACGAGAACGGCGC